TTTTAATGTTTTCCTTAATACAAACATACCACACAACTTGATAAGTTATTTACAGGAACATTTGTCCTTGCAGAATTTAAGAAATTTTGCCACAGCTACCCAATTACCTAAGAAAGGCTACAAATGAGATGAAGGCATTGAACCCAACTAGCCCATTTGGTAGTGTAACTAATTAATCCAAGAATCTCATCTTGACATTTCTTTTAGAAAATCAGGGTATTGAATTTGACAACATGGCAGGGTAGCTTGTTCCTTTCTCACCACAACCATTATACTGTATATAAAGGAATAATCTTGTTCCTCATTTTAAATGCACTTCTACTTAATTTCCACTTGTGTCATGTGTTTCATATTTCTCTGTTCAGACTTAAGAAGTACACTGTGTTCCGGACTTTTCTCTGTACTGATTCTAGAGCAGCAATGTCTTTTGTATCTTGTTGACCTAGAACTGGTTGACTGGCATCATCTGCACATCTCATAGATATTTAAAAGATAAGTTAGAACGGGTGAGCTTCGCCAAGCAGTGCTGACACAACGAGCTTGGCTTCGGTTTCAGCAAGTCTGATTGATGTTTTCCTGTAGCCTGTGTAAGGAGACATTATCTGCAAGTTTGTCTGGACCATGGTATATCTATCTGGACAAGTCTAGACAGAAAGCACGCTGCAGCTGAATATTTTTCTTATAGTTAAAGATCAGCTTTGCATTTGAGGCAGCACTTCATAGTCTAAACAATAATTGGAAGATCAAAATAGTCTTAATCCTTATAACCTAGTGCACCAAAGGTGTTTTGTGTACTAATGGATTTTTGTTTTTATCTGTTTTATGCTTGCTTTTTTGTTTGCATTATCATTCAAATTGATACAACTTAGTTATTGTGTATCCATTATTTATTTCTGTGACTTTAAGAAGTCTTCTGTTCCTATGATATTTTAGTGTTATTGTAAGACAATGGAAGTTAAGGATAATTTCTTTAAAAGCTTAATAAGGGCATATAGCACTATATGTTGGGGAAACCTTTAGTCTAAGTTAGTTCAAATATTTTTTTAATCCTGCAGTTTTTGCATCTGTGATATTTTATTCGGTTGTTTGTTTTTTTAAATAAAATATATTCTAAATTTAAATCATGTCATATTTAATTTTAGTTTAAATTGGCATTTTGAACTATTTATGCATGTTATAATGGAGTTCATTTATCTGTTTATTTCAGAATGCAAGGATCAGTGAACCACTTATGAATGTAGTGGAATGAGTGAATTGTTTCTCATGAACATGGGCATTCCTGAAGTACAGTGGGACAGTGTGCCTCGTTTGTTTCATAAAATCCCTTAGCAAAGACTGGTCCTTTATTTAAGTTTAGGAAAGTCTCTAAGATGGTTATTTACAATGCTTGTTTGATAGTATTGTGGCATCAGCATAGAAAGTATTTGTTCAAGGGCAAAATGTATTCCCAAATTATCCAAGAACTGTGCATCAGAGGTGGGCTATATATAACTAAATCAAGAAAGGCTACAGTACACTTGTAGATCCTTGTAGTGTGTGCACAAGGGTTGTACATCACTTTTATCTCAGAGTGTGCAATTATTTTAAGTTGTTATTAATAATGGCTCATCCAAATTTTCTTGATTTTGCATTAGTTTGGCAAATGTTTCTTTAAAAACAATAGCTTTCTTAAAAAAGTGGACTGCATCTATGGCTACATCTTCCAAACATTAGAGTAAAGATGTCATTAGCTTTTATAGAAATGTTGTGGGGAAATATTTGTGCTTAAGTTATTGTAACACTGTAATTAGGAAAGAATGTCAATTATAGGTACTGTTTTCATTTAGACATCTACTGTCTGCAATTCCTATTCAGGTGGTGGTATAATTTTATTAATATTAAAGCCTGTTAGGATTTGTGTTTTGTGGAATACAGTTTTCTCTAGAGTTGATCATTGTGAAAGGCATCTAAATTTAATTCTGAATTATGTGGCATTGATACTAATTTTCAATAAAATTAACAATTGTCATTCTTCATATACTTTTGCCTGCTGAATCTTTGTAGAATGTTGTGCAGTCTTAAAATTTAAATGCATTTGCTCTTAATAAGACTGGAATCCACTTGTATCGACACTTTGCTCATTTTGTTTGCAGAACAAGGCCCGTGGAGTAGTTCTACATGTTGCATATTTTATTCATTTCGGAACTCGAGTCAAAGTTAGCTTGTTAGTACATCTATAACATGTCCTCAAGACTGGAAAAATCAAAGACAATGCACCAGAACCCAAAACAATCTTCAGATGGAGTAAGTCCATAAAGACCTGGAAACTGAATCTTTTTAATCTTCCTTTCTTTGATGAGGCTGCTCAACTGCAGTAAGTGCTTCAGTGTTAAGTACAGATCCACAAAGATTTTCTTTGCTCTGTTGCCAAATCTTGATCGATTTCCTGTCTTGCTGAGATGCAGTTTTATTGAAAGTTAAACAAGTTTGAGTGTAGCAGTTATAGAAAGCTGTTCCTGACCAGGGTTAAGCTGTAACCTCTGACACAACCATTCATTTAGTTCCTTGCAAAAGTATTCACTACATTGCAAAGTTTCCATATTTTGTTGAATATTAAAACATTTACTAGTAATATTATTAATATTACTAGTAATAAACTAGTAATATTATTTTGTTCTTAACAGTTAATCTGGAAGAGTCTGAATTTTTTTATATCAATTACACCTCTTTTGCCTTTTATAGATAATTCTGTCACTTTTCTCAGTACTTCTGAATAAAATGCTGACCTATACATTATCCCACAGATTTAATTGTTTTGTTTCCTTCCTGTATTAGTAAAGCAGCATAGAGACTTGCCGCACTCCTGCCTGAGTTTCAATAGATGCTGTCTGCACTCTCCTTCTTCCAGCCTCCCCAAGGCCAAACCACTGTGTTTAACCACTGCGTCAAAATGGCATCCATTGTAAGGTTTCAGAATATGAAGGAAGGCCAAGAACTTTCTCATTATGGTTTGATGTAAGAGATTGTCAAATGTGTATAATTGTTCCCCCTTCATAACAGAGCTGGCTTAACATTTCAGTAAATTGCACATCGACTCTTTTAATGATTGTCTTTAAAAAGTGTTACTTTCAAGTGGAAACCCAACCCTGCCAGCCTGCACTAAGTACTGTGATGAGCGAAGCTGATGCAAATCTGTGATTTCGTATGGCTGTGTGGGTGCTGAGTATTCCTGCGGGGGTTGTTCAGAAGGATGGCCAGTTACTTAAGGAATAGGGGTTCTGAATTCGACAGCAGGTCTAACAGGCTGGATGAAGTCTGGTATTCTCTATTAGAGGACTGTTTCTGCTTTTATTATGCAAAGAATCATGTATTGAAGTCTGTATCTTAAAGCTGTACTCTGTATTTTGACCAGTCAGGAGTAATCTGACATCTGTCTTAAGTCTTTTTTTTTAAACACTAAAAAAATCCTGGGTGATTTTTAAAAATTGGACTGTGAAACATTTAGGAAATAGTATACAATATTTTACGTGATACATGAGCTCATCTTAAGTTAAGTATCTGTGATCTTGTAAGGTAAAGAAAGCTCTCCGAACTTTCAGGATTTGCCATTTGAAATCTGTTCGAATTAGGATTACATGGATTTAGGATGGCCAGAGGCCATATCACCCTGCAACTCACAACTTGCAACCCACTGAAGCTAATGAGGTGTGAGCCTGGTCAGTACCTGGATGAGAGACATCCTGGGAAAAACTTAGGTTGCTGCTGGAAGAGGTGTTAGTGGGTCCAGCAGGGGGCACTCACCCTGCGGCCTATGTTAATCCTAATGCCCCAGTATAGTGACGAGGAAACTATACTGTAAAAAGGCACTGCCTTCAGATGAGACATAAAACTGAGGTCCTGACTCTCTGTGGTCATTAAAAATGCCAGGGCGTTTCTCGAAAAGAGTAGGGGTGTACCCCGGCATCCTGGCCAAATTTCCCATTGTCACTTACCAATCATGGTCTTCTAATAATCCCCATCAATGAATTGGCTTCATTACTCTGCTCTCCTCCTCACTGAGAGCTAGTATATGGTGAGTGTTCTGGAGCACTATGGCTGCCGTCGCATCATCCAGGTGGATGCTGCACATTGGTGGTGGTGGAGGGGAGTCCCCATTACCTGTGGAGTGTACAGAATAGCACCATATAAGTGTAAGCAATTATTATTATTATTATTATTATTATTATTATTATTATTTAGTGAATTTCCCTGAACACATTCAAATCAAAATTATTCATGCACCAATGTTTGAGTGGCCACATTTATCAGGATAAAAAATAAACTTGACAAGCTGTTAGATAATCAAAATTACCTCTGTTACATTATGGAAGGCTCAGAAATCAATGAAGTATACATTTTAGTTGACAACAGCTTTTTCAGCCTTCTGCATTTGCTCTTGTCAAGTAAATATAAGTATGCTTTCTGAGTGCTACATTTTAGCATTTATTTCAGAGCAGGCACAGGCCATCTTTAAGTGTATGCTGTGTATTTTCTTTAGTTTTTAAAACACATTCAAGACTCTTATCAGTCCATTTCTTAATTTGTGTGTTTTAGATCACTCTTATTAGAATTCTTCACTATCACCTGCATAGATGCAATCCAGTCCCATCAGTACTTTTCTCACACAGTATACAGTACCTGTAAAGGCTTTGTTTTTGCAGACAGAACAGGTTGAAGTTTGGTTTATAACATTTACACTAAAGGACATTAAATTATTGTTACTTATTCTTTTACTACTTGATGTTATGCAATCACCATCTTGAAATACATACCATAGTGAATTCATTATCTGAATGTCTGTGAACTTCTAAAGCTTTGAGAGACCATTGTTTTTCTCTTGCATATTGCTGTTCTTTGCGGTTTACTTATTTGATCATGGTAGTGCTGCACATGGCAGTCATTTAGCTCATTGTTGCCAGTGAAGACATGAATTAGCCTAAATAACTGGATTCCATTCTAATCGTCATTTTTATTTGTTTCAGAGGAAGTCCTCGTGTGAAGGTCACCCCTGGCTACAAAGAGGAACAGTGTGCTCCTGCTCTGAGCTTGGAGATGAAAAGGCCTGTAGACTTGGAAGCTCCTATCACAAGGTGAGATTTCAAAGTCAGGGTCTATCCCGACAAGAAAACCGTGCAAGGCAGGATACATCCTGGATGGATTGGATTCTGGGGCCAATCTTCCCAGAATCCAATTAACCTACCTACATGAAACCCACATGACCATGAGAGAGCATACAAACTCCACACAGATAGCACCCCAGGTCTGGAATTGAACCCAGGGACCCAGGGCTGTGAGGCAGTACTGCTGACCACTTTGCCACCGTGCCACTCTAAAACCTCTTCAGTAAAATAAAAAAACAGTAAAAAAACATTCTTGAATGCCTGCCACCTGAAAAATTGAGATTTAATTTTTTATGAGGAACATTTGGTATCTGTTACTGCTGTGGATTGTTAAAAGAACTCTGACAAATTAAACAAGATCTACCTTTTCTAAATTCATGGTGACAATTCCTAAAAATCCTGTTGACATGCAGATGATTTTCCAGTTTAGTTCTAATTATTGTTAACAAACACATGCTTTAGACATACTACAAAACATATTGGTCAATAATTACTTGGTTTGGTTTTGACACCTTTTTTCGCACCTTACTGAAAAAAAACATTCTGGCCTATATTGCCATATTTATGTCTTTCTCAGCCATTCTTATAATGTAAGATAAGATCACTTTTATTAGCCATATACAATTTCTTGCATTAGGAATTTGTAATTTTGCATACCCCAGCTTGTTCTCCATGAGACATACAGGCACACAGGAGGGGAGAGAGAAGCTTGGGGTCAGAGCGCAGGGTCAGCCATTTATACGGCGCCCCTGGAACAGCTGGGGTTAAGGGCCTTGCTCAGGAGCCCAACGGAGTAGGATTCCTCTGCCGGCCACGGGATTTGAACCGGCAAACTTCCGGTCGTTATATTTTCTGAACTGGATCTTATTTTTTAATCATTTTATAAATTGCTTTGTTTTTTATTTATTAAATTATTTGGATCACTGCTAGCCTTTGTTTTCTTAGAATGCATTCTGTTTTTCAAACAGAATATCTTTAAAGTTTTGCAATCTCTAAGGAATCCATATCCATCTTGTTTTCCATCTCTTAATCTCTGGCTCATTCCTTCGCAGTCTGCTTTCCTGAAATAGTAGACCTTTGTTGTGGATATTTTGATCACAGCTCCATAATGTTTCTCTCTCCTCTGTTTTTCTCACCATCTTGAAAGTGATCTTCCTTAAATATTTGAAAACATTGTCAGGCATTTGTTCAAGTCAGTGTTCTAACAAATTTAGCAATCAAGTAGTTGTTACCCACATCTTCCATTTCAGTCACTGTGAGAGAAAGTTCTTCAGCATACCCTGTACTCAGCCACGTGTTGTGTTCCTGGATTAGTATTAACAGTTACTAATCTTTGCAAGTTGTAGAAAGAGTTCCTGGGAAAAAAAACTGATTTAGGCCTCTTCAGTATTTTTTAGTAGATTTGTGAATCTGTTTGATATGGAATGAGTGATATATTTGTTTTCTAAACCGCTAACCGCTACATCTTCACCTGCCTTTGCTAGGATCTTGTCAACTCTTTGGACAATATTAGTCACCACAGTTCCAAGAAAAAAGTATACTGTTGTTCTCTCTGGTTAATTGAACATATTTTCCACGTTCCTTGTTCTCATTTGAGTGCCATTATTGCTGGGGTACTGCCTTTTGGCTCCCTCCTCTATGCATTCCATCCTATGGCTTGTGGCTGAAAGACCACTTGGAGTCATCCAAAGATATATGAACATCTTCTAAAGCAAAATGACGATTGTTTCTTGTCATGCTGTATATAAGAATGCATATCTCTATTCTATAAAGAGTCTCTAGAGAACCATTCTTTATCGCACCCAACCCATGTTCAACAAGATGATAACCAAAGCTGCTGCTTTCTGACTTGGCACTATGGCCTGTTTTCTTGAGCAGTCTGGTCTAAATACATGTACCCAGGGTTAGGAGATTTATTTTATATACCCATCTTGCACTTGGGCTGTCTTTAAAAAAATAGGAGCATACTCTGTCATTCACAATCGTTTTCTTTACCACAAGGTGACGTTTCTCATTACACTTGGAGTTTGGAGTGGTGATATGGCACTGTATTACTATTACTATACCACTAAGTATTTTACTGTTACCGATTGTTTTATGTTAGATAAGAAAAAAAACTCAACCTCAAACCTCATCTCTTGCATGGTGAAGTTGGAATATCTTGGCACTTCTGCTTGAAGGCTATTCTGCTGATACTTAGATAGGAATACAGAGTAGGTGAAACAGAAAATATTGTTGTACATTTTGTCATAAAGGTTAAAAGGTAGTACCACCTGGCACATTTTAAGAGCTATTCCAAATGCAAAGAGGCTTTAGCAGCTTTTCATGGACTTTTGATGAGGTTTAGCATCTGTGAGGTGAAGAGACTGAAGGGATCTTTAGAGATAAATTAACTTCAGATTTTAATTATGAATTAAAAATTGCAAAACATAGCAATTATGTCTTGAAGACATGTGAACAAGAGCAATACAAAGTATTGTCATTTATAGACAAAATAAATTGCCAGTCTTATTTTGCTAGAGTCTCAATTCATCTGGAAGTTTAAATTAGTCTGTGTCTGGTAATTTTTTTCTCATCTTAATCATTGCTTTGGGTTTTTTTGAATGTGTTTTTGGAATAAATTGCCTGTCTGTCTTTGCGAATTTTTGCCTTATTAGCACAACAGATTGATTTTTGCAAGTAGAAACCAATTGATGTGCAGGTTTTAACATGTTTTCTAATATAATAACCTAAACAGATGGTCATGTCTGAGGCAGTACACTGAAATGGATGCTGCATAATTGGCAGAAATATAGCAATTATGTTTTAAAGTCATGTAAACAAGAACAATTCAAGGTATTCTCATTCATGGACTAAATAAATTTCAGGTTTTCTTTTGCCAGAGTCTCACTGCATCTAGCTGCAAAGGAACAAAGAGGGCAGGGATCCCAGTCCTAGTCCTTCAGGGCCTGTGTATAGGTTTATAGGAATTAGTATATTATTAGCATAATTGTACTAGTTAACAGCCACTCCCAGCTGTACAGGTGCTGTTGCTTTTTAAAAGACCTAGAAAATATGCAAAGAGGTTTTCTTCAGGTCCAACAGCCCTCCAGAACTAGAGGTTGCTTCCACATTGAAGAGTAAAAGGAAATGATAAAGCACTACTAAATGTAGTCCTACCCTCTCCCTCATTCCCCCACACACCTGAATAACATTTCTTTTGTTTTTTCTTTTGAGCATGAACCTAACCTCTACATCTTGAAATGTCATCGAGAAATTTAATCTGAAGTCTGATTCCTGCAGACTTTCACAGGAAGATCAGGCAAATGTCAGCATGGATATCTCTTCTATCAACAAAATAATCAGTGTCTGAGTCTGTTTACCACTTTGTTGTTAGCTCATTTTTTTACCACCATTAACCTGTTCTGATAAGTTGTCATTATACAGTACAAGTAAATTATAAGATATCATTTTAGACACTTTTTTTATTTCTTATCTCTGCTTGAAATATGCAAGACACGCAAGCTGACTTTCTTCAGATTTGTTATTTGTTGATATTTTTGGTTAACTTTTTTCCGTGTTCCAGGTTATATAGATTTCGATCTACTGACCTTAGTCCTGGATAGGGGCTTTGTTTAATCTAATAGAGGCTTTTCATACCTTTAAAAAAAAAAAACATCACAGTCATTTTTCATATATTAGGTCTTGCAGAATTATAGTGTAATTATAGACCTACTGATTTCATTAATGGAACAATTTTTTCAATGGATGATAAATTGTTAAATTCTTGGTTATGAAGACCTTATATTTGTTGATCTCTGCAGGTTTGGTTTCACTTGTTCTGATTTGTCTTAATTCTGAACACTTATTAACTCTCTGAGCATGTTATTAACAGTAATAGTCAGTTTTGATGTGGTTAAATATACTTATTTGTTTTTAATGCTTCTCAGTATGGTTATGGAACCATGTGCTATGATGCTTGAGAAATGTTTACTGTTTTCAGTGCTGTTTTTATCCCACTGCCTGTATTAGACAGTGTAACTTCACATATAGTATGTTAATATTCATATATGGCAAGTTGATTCTTTATTCTGCTCTGCACTGCACAGGCATTGCACTTTCAGATGTGCCTGCCTCACTGTTTTGTTTTTACTTTTTTCCTACTATATTTGACCCATTTATTTTTTGTATTTACTTCATTACTGGATATTTTCTGAGTTGGCACTTCTTTTGGGGGTGAATGTGTAATTAGCACACTTATAACAAGTATAAAAATAGTTATCCTGATAGATGAGTATGTAAAAACACATCTTTACGTTTGTACTTCTGAAAGTGTTCCATTATTCAAGGCAAACTTGTACCTCTCTTGATCTGTTTTTCATGTGAGGCACATAGGTGACATTATGTAAATATAATTCCAATATTGAAATGCTCTTCAATGTTTTTGCTTTAATCATAGTACCATAACAAGCTTTGTTTTTGTGCCTTCTCTTTATTCTTTTTAGGTGTTGTGCTGGATAGTGGTCCTAAACAATTCTGAAAGCATATTTTAGAGGCTGATAGCTGATTGCCTATTTCTTCCTCTAGAGTCTATATATTGACAATGAAACTGCCATCTACATTAATATCCTATTTTTATTCACAAGTCTTTTAGTACTGTAGGTTGAAAAATATGTTGTTCAAGGATCCCTTTATCTTACCTATCTGATGTGCTGGTTCTGGAGGCTTCTGCACAATAACTTAGGTTCTCTGATTTTACCCCAACTTTGGCTGTATTATTGCAGTATTCTCCTACCTGTATGCTTAAGCAGTAATATAGGCTTAACATTGCTTTCTAAAAACATTTTGTGTGTGACTGTAGTGTCTGCAGAAAACCTTATTGACTGATAGATTGAAGGTTTCAGTAAGCCAAGAATCAGTGAAAGGGAGAAGAAGGAATATCATTCTCACCCCCAATCACTCTGAACATCATTTCTTCCCCGATGTGGACTGTGAACTCATTTATCAGTACTGTAAAACTGGGTCAATTCTGATAATGAAATGTATGCTTTGAAGATGAGGGTTAGGGTAAAATGTTTTGGCCAAAACCACAGACCATATTACAGAGTAACATAGCCATTTAAAACTATTAAATTCTCTACTAATGTTTTTATGAATATCCAGTTTGTATCACAAGATATTGGGGCTACCACGAGAAAAAAAAAACATAGAAACAGTTCTCGACAATTGTGCTAGAGCCTCTTTGCACTTTGTTTGAATACTGTGCTTTTTAATGGGGTGTTGGGTGAGCTCTTCCACTGCTCCAAATGGCTTTGTGCACAAATATTCAATTTTCAGGAACTGCTAGTTTCCTCAGAGGCATGTCATTGTTTATTCCACACTTTAAGTTGGACTTGCAGCCATATTGTATGTGTAAAATGTAATTGACATGCTTTTGTTTGCAGTTTTCAGTCCATGCAGGAGGACCTAGTTGTGGCCACAGCTGATGGTCTTCTTCATATCCTTCACTGGGAAGGTGTGACCAATGGCAGAAAGGCTATTAACCTCTGTACCATCCCTTTCTCAGTAGATCTCCAATCCTCGCGAGGTGAGGCCCTCAGTCAGTTTACTATTCATTTTATAGTGCTTTGGTGAATATGTACAGATGCAGCCATTCAAAGTGAGCGGTACAGACACGTACCGCAGGTAAGATGACACGGGGTACCGCGGTGCGTGATTGGTTGACCGACAGGGGCCCTCGTGGTCCGTTGGTCTGTCGTAGAAAGACTTACTGTAAACGTCTTTACTGTGCCCGTTGTAGATATTGAATTTTACCACTG